CTAACGGGAGCATTGGGAAAGCTGTCTAAAATAGGAGTTCTTCTAGGGTTAGGGTTCGGAGAAGCCATGACAAAGAAGATTGAAGTGAAAAGAAGTGAATAAAAGTTTTGAAAAATTAAAGTGTTCAATACGCTTTAAATGGTAGAAGACAAAGATGGAAGTTATATTTATACTAATGAATGACCGTCAGAAGGAAAGAGTATAGTGATGGGAAGTCCATAATAATGATAACTGACACTTCGTGGACAGGGAAGCCGAAAAGAAAGCCTAAGAAAGTACTGTACAATTGTATGATCAATAAGAGGATGACACGTGTCCAGCGCATTAAATGAAAGTAATAAGTGAAGCGTCAAACTCTGTCAGAGCATTAATGGTGACAAAAATTCTCCCTTAATGAATTCCACTTCCCAAATATTCAAACTGATGAATAAATGGAAAGTGAGGGGACTATCTGTATTGGGGAAAATTATATTTATGTATATGGCGACGTGTCATGACATATAGACTGGTCAAACAGTCAAAGAAATAAGGCTGGTTAACAGATACGAGCAACAACAGATACAAGCAACAATAGATACGAGTAAATTAAATGGAGGGGGTGTGAGCAGTCATACAAGTAATTCAACGCTCGTACATATTCAAGATATTTAAAACTCAAAGATAGTGAAGAATTAAAGGAATGAATCTGACAGCAAAAAGGAGTCCAGATACAACATTTAATGAGTATTAATTATTGGAAACGTTAGAAAATATGTATTTAATGTATATGATTGTATAACGTAACATTTAAAGTCATTAATTGCCCATAATAATATTATTATGACAAAGCTAAGGCTCGTATCCCAAAAGAACTATAAAAAGGGAAGAAACAAACAATTGTAGGGACAAGTGACTATTGGAATATACTTTGATTTACCAGCTTTCATACTTGGCTATTCTAAAATTTCTTTCTTTATTTACTTTTTCAATTATCAGTAACCCGATTCTTCTAATTTCTAGCTTTGACTAAAAATCTATTTTTTGGTTAAACAACTGTGCCAGTGCTTTTTTGCCATGGGAGTAGATGGTGATTCAAACAGACAGCTAATGCTTTGCTAGTCCAATTTATGATCCAAATTCTGCTGCTTGATTTGACATATTACTACTGCACCGGAGATCAACACTATATACTTCCTGTGCCAAAATTTCTGAAGTGCTGTGGATCCAATTTTGCTAAATGAACTTCTCCTTGATCTTTTAGGAAGAGCTATCTTTTGCAGCTGAAATCAGTACAGTTGCCTAATTGTAGACTTGTAGTGCTGCAGCTTATATTTTAATTGATTACTATTAATATTTGGGATGTTATATTGGTACTTATTTGTACTGTTTCTTGAAGTTTTTTGTTGCTTCCATATATTTGTCTTCAGTAATTGATGTTTGTTTTTGGATTCTTGAAACAGTTCCTATCACCATAGATTTACAACAGCTTAGATGTTACCGCAAAAACAACCCTATTGGAGCTGAAGTTTTTGACATTTTATATATTGGAAATAAGGGAATTATCAAGCTTATGATTAGCTGAACAATAGTATCTTTTAACACCAAGTGCTGAAAGACAATGTTTAAAGTGCTTGAGATGATTTTACAAATGAACAATTACGTATTTTTATAGAAGTATTGAAATTAAAAAAAATAATTATATTTGAATTCACTAAAAATAGATATTTTTATTTCTTAATAATCTGATTGAATTAAAAAAAATAATCCAAAACCCAAATACATTTTGCAGTGTAGTAGGCTAGAAATGCAATTTGAATAACGACTTCCACTGTACAATTTCGTATAGTTGGTGGAAGTTCCAATCTTACCATTAAAGTATTCTTGCGTGTCTGTAATCTGTGTATCCACATACAAATCTTACTCAGTCAATAAGACCCGACCCAATATCAAACCACAGACCCATATCTTGCCCTTCCAACACAAATACACTCTCAACATTTCTGCTTCTTCTGCATGCATGAAACCCTCCAATATTTTCTCATCAATCTAACAATGGTAATCTCTCCATCTCCATCATCTCTTCTACTCATCACTCTCCTCTTTCTCCTTGCACCCATATACACTCATTCCAATTCTTCCGACGCATTACTCTCCGAACTGATCAACCTCCGATCACAATCACCCACCGGCGTCATCCACCTCAATGACTCCCTTCTCCAACGCATCCTCTCTATCCCTTCCCCTAAACCTTTCTCTTCCCTCATTTTTTTCGATGCCAAACAGCTCCACTCGAAACCCGACATCAATCTCCCTGCTTTCAAACGTGAATTCTCCCTTCTCTCCTCTTCTTTCCTCGTCAACCACCCCAAAAACAACAACAACACTCACATCTTCTTCTTCGTTATCGAGTTTCAAGAATCTCAATCTTCTTTCGTATTGTTTGAACTCAAGTCTTTACCCCATATTCGGTTATTACCAGGTTTTTTAACGGATTTGAAAAGGGATAGTGTTCCAATGGACGCTTCCGGTTATTCAAGGGGAGCTGAGTCGATGAAGGAGTTTGTAGAAGCGAATGTGGAGGTTAATGTGGGTCCCATTCATCGACCCCCAGCAATTTCCAAGAAAATGATGGCTGCTATTGGTGGTGTATTCTTGATTTGGAGTCCATTTTTGGTGAAAAAGATTATTTCTGGAAAAACCCTTTTGCATGATAAGTATATGTGGATGACCGGATCGATTTTCGTGTACTTTTTTAGTGTTGCAGGGACAATGCATAATATAATTAGGAAAGTGCCGATGTATTTGGAGGATAGGAATGATGCAGGGAATTCGAAGATGATTTTCTTTTACCAAGCATCTGGGATGCAGTTAGGGACCGAAGGTTTTGCTGTTGGATTCTTGTACATGATTGTTGGATTGTTTTTGGCATTTATGACTCATGTTTTGGTCTCTGTGAAGAACAGGGGAGCTCAAAGGTTGTTGATGGCGTTTGGGCTCATCGTTTCATTTTGGGCAGTAAAGAAGGTGATTTACTTGGATAATTGGAAGACTGGGTATGGTGTTCATGCGTATTGGCCTTCAAGTTGGATATGATAGCAATGTAGTTTCTCTATCTGATATATATAGCTGGTATTCTCTTAGGTAAGATCTCTGTAGTAGTTTATACTACATGTGAGCTGATCCAGATTCAACCAATAATAGTTGACTGAAGAGTTTCAGCTTAGATTTATAGATCTTTGTACCTGTAGTGAAGCATGTATGTGCCAGTTGAAGTTTTGAAATATGTTTTGCTAGATTTTGCACTCTGTATATCAATAATCACACGTTTTACGTCTCTCAAAATTACTGTTTTTAGTTACTTGCATGATCATTACAGACTGTGATCACCACTTATTAGCATCCATTTCAGTGCCTAATATGTAAATTGTTTATCATAATTCAGGCAAGATGAGGGTAATTATTGTGTAAATAGTTAAAGACCTGAAGTTGCCACCTCTAAGAGGTGAGAGGCCTTCCATAAATTTATATAGGTTTTTAGCAGACATTAGCACCAAGAAAGGGATATTTACCTTCCAACCACCAGCACTAGTCTTTAGCAAATTAAAACATAGTATGATTACGGAGAGCGGCCTCACTTGGAGAGCTAAAGAAGTTAGCATCAGTTGTCAGACAAGGCAAAGAATCTGATATCTGGGAGAAAAAGAAGAGTAGAAAGTATAAAAGATTGACTAATTAAAATCAGAAACAGCTGATATATTTTGGTGGGATCACATAGATTTTTGAGGTTTAGAGCCTGGCAGTTGCTTTTCTTGAGTTTTGAGGAATAGGCACTTTCATATTCTTTTCTCGCAGAAGGTAAATCGGTATGTAAGTAGCAAAGGAATTTAAGCTGCTTGATTCTGATGTTCATACCTTGGATTACATTGGCATAACATGTGCTGTGGAAAATGGTACACTACACTTCAATTAAAGCAAAAAAGGGGGTGATAACTTGAATAGTTGTTGACATGCTCCTTTCTTCTCCATATGTCTAACAAATTTCTTTGCATTTAATTAATTGCAATTTTGCATATAGTACTTTGAAAGGTCCTAGACGACAGAAGGATGGTCCTTGGATCTTTTACTTCTGAACTGTGACTAATACTTCCTTCTTTAGCTTACTAACTCAAAATTACTATTTTCTGGAAACTTGTTTCTGTCATAAATCGAGTATGTAAATTGAACTTTCTATAAAAGAAAGGAAAGCTAGTGTGTGTTTTTAAGGTACTAAGGCGCAAAATAAGGTTGATATAATGTTCTTGTTAACTGAACATATTTCTTCTTGGATGGCAACAAGAAGGGATAGATAGCTAGACCGGATATAAAAGAGGTACACTTATCAGCACTTTCAATTGGAATAGCAAGGAGGAAGTAAATAAAATTACTTGAATTATAAGCACTTCATATAGGGGGATTCAGTGGCTTATTGATTGTTCATCATAAGATCCGACGGAACCAATGAACATTATGTTGTTTCGAAACCACTATCTTAATCTCATTTGAACAATTTTTTATTAATAGCTCCAAAACCTTGGCGATCATATAAGATTATCAGTATTCTTTATCGCTTCTTATACTTGGCCACAATATTATGCTATTGTTGCAGAGAGACCTTTCGACATGGCTATTGACAAAAAATAGAGTAGTTGTCTTTCTTGAACGTGGTGATATAAGTTATTTAGCTGCATATTTTTTAAGAAATGTTGCTTAAGAACTACTCTACCATCAAGAAAGATAGAGAAAGATGAAATGTTATATCATTAACTTTGATCTGGGATATGCTGATTAAGCTCTTATATGCCTGATTAAGCTCTTGAGGTCCACCGTCCACCTTATGTTTTTTTCTGGCATAAAAGGGGAAGTGGGTGGCAAGCGTGTTTTCACTTTTAGATATAAAGTTGGTCATTGTTCAGCAAAGAATATATTCTTTTGAGCAATCTTTGGTGACCCATACTGAAATCTAGTCATCATTTCATGTGTAGCGTTCTGTTGTTGCTCCCATTCTTCCTTCAGTCACATATTAGTATTTGCTTACGTACATTGAATCTTGAAAGCACTAATGTGCAGCAAAAAACTTTAAAAGAAGAAAAAATTTTGTTGGACAAAAAGCCTGATGGTCGGTTTGCTTCAGCAGATCTTGCTAGTTTTTAACAACCCCATCTTTCCTTTTCCTTCGTTGTGTAAAAAAGGTGCATATGAATTTCAATTCTTTAAGACTTTTCCTGTTCTTTTGTTTCCCCCTTTTCATGAACTTGCGTATCCATGCAGCAGCTTAGATGCTCTTTTACATTTTCCTTTTTTCTATATATATTCTTTCCTTGATAGCCAAACCATTTACTTTTTTATATTCTCTCAAACCTTGTCCTCTTTGTACTTGAAATTTAAACAAGACATTGAAAATTACTTGAGAATTTGAAAGAAGAAATGGAACAACAATTAGAAATGGTAGGAAGAGCATTTGTGGATCACTACTACAATCTTTTCGACAATGATCGATCCTCTATTGGTACTCTGTATCAACCAAGCTCAATGCTCTCATTTGAGGGCCAAAAGTTGCAGGGAAGTGAAGATATCTCTGCTAAGCTTAATGCATTGCCCTTTGGACAATGCAAGCATGCGATTAGCACCATTGATTCTCAACCTTCGTCCTTTTCCGGAGGGATCATAGTCTTTGTCAGTGGTAGCATTCAACTTCTTGGAGAGGACTATCCCCTGAGGTTCAGCCAGGTCTCTCTCTCTCTCTTTCCTCCATATATGTTGTCAAGTGTATGATTTTATATATTTTGTGTGTGCGAACAAAGTACTATGTATTTGAAACATTTGGTTTTCACTCTATCTGAACCGAACGATGAACTACTGGAACAAAAAAAGGCTAAATATCTTGTTTGCAATGCATTTTCTGCAGATGTTTCACTTGATCCCAACTGTGGAAGGAAGTTTCTTTGTGCAGAATGACATATTTCGCCTCAACTATGGATAGTTTAGCGTTTGTGTGGAGAAAATGTTGATCAAGAGAAAAGAAAACTAGTGTTAATGTGAAGGATATGTTGAAGAGAGAAAATCATTTGCTGTAATTTGAATTGATGTGGTGCTTCCTTAACAATGGAATTGGAGCATCACATTGTTGACTTGCTTATTGCTTTTGTAATATCAGATGTCATTTATCCAATTTGCAACCACTTCAAATTTGTCTTTTACCTTCATATTCTGGGCAAAATTAAAGCATGGAGTCATTTCCTACAAGACTATACAATAATTAGATTGAACAGGTCAAGACTTGTGTGGTGAGATGAGCTGCATATGCTAAGATCAAAAGGTCCAAATTCAAGTTTATAGTTGAAATATAAGCGTATGCACAATTTAATTTATTGGTGATATTCTTATTTCTTCACGCTCACGGTGCCACTCTCTGCTAGCTAGAGTGTTTCACATTACTATACATTTCCATGTCTCTGGCAAAAATCACTTGAGTTGACCCTTTTTTTAAAAAGAAAGAAAAAGTAGTGAATCACAGATGCATATCTTGGATAAAGAATTTGCAGTTGAGTATCAATTTATGATCTTTTGGCCCTTAATTGTTTTTTATGTTCCAAAGCTTTTAGCATCATTATATAAAATACTGAAAAGGGCCAAAACTACCCCTGAAGTATCAGATTTGGTACAAAAATGCCCTCCGTCCATCTATTTGAATAAAAATGTGCCTGCCGTTATTTTTTTGGCTCAACCTTACCCCTATTTCTGATGGCCCTTTCTTTAAAAACTAGAAGCTTATTTATTATCCATATGTTAGCACTTTAGTGGTCTAACTTAAACCCCATCCCAGATATAGAAACCCACCTGCACCATTATTGACCCGCCATAATTTTTTTTTTAAATCTCGTCTTCTGCTTAAATTTCGGTCGCCAACTTCGGCTCCGGCAATATTACCGGCTGAATCTCCTATTTTGTTTTTTCCTTTCAATTTTGCTTTTCTTCGGCTCTCTCATTTTATCACCAATACACACAATTACACACAATCTTCCCAAATTAATATTTATTGGAATCAGAAGAATCAAAGAAAACTAGAATCGGCAAAGAAGAACAATGGATTCACCTCTGCAAGTGTTAGAAATCTCCATTATTAATAGTTCCAGACATAGAGATTGCCCACACCGGCAAAACAATCATCACATTTTAGACATTATAAAGACTCAATGCATGGAATTTTTGACTCTCATTGAAACTTTCTTACATAGAAAAATCTTCTTCAATTAACAACCATAAGTGAGGCTAGGGACATAACACATCACATCTTGTTTGAAGAATTTGTTGCATAAGTCCGCAAAATTAAAGTAAAAGTTATCTTGGATATATTTATGAAAAAAGGAGTATCCGAGAAAGATTAATGTAGAATGGACGGGTGATTATATTTGGTTCGCTCCCATTAGTTTGGCCTTCAATATTCACGAAAATAGTATTTTATTCTTCATGTTCTTCTTCTTCGGAGAATAATTGGATTTTGACCCAACCCGCCTAAAAAATTGCTAAGGATACGCCACATAATAAATAAAAATTCAATTATTTTATTTTCATAGGACGTTAGTATTAAAGGCAAATTTGAGCCAAAAAGAAAACGGCAAGGACATTTTTAGTCTAATAGGTGGATGGAGGGCATTTTTGTACCAAAACTGATACTTCAAGGGAAGTTTTGACCCTTTTCCGTATAGAATAAACTAAGCCATATTTCTCAATATATCATGATTAGTGATAGTGTTTACTTTATTGAACCAAAACAACAGCAGAATATGTTATTAGGAAAAACAACATTACAACCAACAACTGAACATACTACGGCTCACAAACTAGCAATACATGAACATTGTTAGATTAACAAAGTTTCTCACAAGCCCTCAGTGTAAGCCACACCAGTGGATTTCAACCATGCTCCTCCCTGAATGAGCTGAGCCACAGTAAATTTCGTCGCCTCTGATGCACTTAAAACATGATAACCAGGCCACTTCACTCTCTTACTAGTTCCAGCACCAGGTCCTTTGTTCATATACTCACCATAATATAAAGTTTTCAAGGCAAAATCACCTTTCCATACTGACCAACCTTCTGGATCAATATGGTCGCCAATATTGGACTGCATAAATACAGTTCGTGAGTACGCTTTCCACGGACGTCCCAAATATGTATTAACCGACCCTTTCACTGGTGCAAGGTCTGAGGTAGCAATAATGTCACAATTTTGGATTGAAGTTCCTGTATTTTGGTTTGGATCTTCACGACCTTGGGCTGTAACCATGTTCTTTTGTCCGGTTCCAGGCTTTCGAGCTGCGATTTTGGAGTTCTGGAAGACAACTGCAGCATTACCAAAGATGAAATCAACAGTGCCAGTGATGTAACAATCTCTGTAGTATTGACGGAGGCTGTGGGTATAAAGAGTATCTTGGAATGCATCTATTTTGCAACGATTGATGACTGATTGATCTGCTCCAACACGAAGCGCTACTGCTTGGTGTTTTGCTGCTCCTGCTGTGTTTTGAAACTGCAGATCTTGGGCTATGAATCCATCCCCAACAGCAGCTGCATTCAAAAGAAAAAAGTGAGGCAACCAATTAAAAGTCAAGCCCTAATTGAGAAAGAAAAATTTTCATTAGCTGCATTAACATAAATTAGGTTCTCATTAGTTGAATGTGGAATTTAATTTAGATCTCTTAATTAGCTTCGGCCTAAAGCCCCTGGTGACATTTTAAGATTAAAGGTTGCATATGTTATCACCACCAAAAAGCTGTTCAAGTCCCAATTGATGATAATGAAGCGAGTACAAAATAAGTCAAGACAGTATGGGGAGAAAGAATATACTTACCAACAGTTGCAGATTTGAAGGTTGTTGTACCATCGACAACATTCAAGCTGCCAGTGATAATAGTAGCATCCATACCATCACCAACAAGCATCACATTCTTCTTCTTTTTCCCAATCTCAACATTCTCTTTGTATATTCCTTTTTTCACATGTATAACGTAACGAGTCTTGCTATTATCTGGAGCAGATGCAACTGCTTCCTTTATTGTCTTGAATTTTCCGCTACCATCTTTAGCCACTACAACATTGGCTGTTATGGCATTTGCAGAAAGTTGCAAAAGCCTTCTATCATTAATAGTAACCCATGTGGGTAATCCATCAGTAACTGATGGAAGATCCATGGTATTAGATGGTGTCATTTTAACCATCAAGGCCAAGGAAGTCTTTGCTCTTACTATTAAATCCTTCAATATGGGCTTCATAATGGACTGGGCCTGACCACTTAGCCCATCCATGCATGTACCATGGTTGGTGAGAATGCTACTTAGCCATGTATGGACATCAAAATGGGCTTGGGCCGATAGGTTCCCAAGTGACATCATGGAGTCCATTAATCTGTCCCTTGACAAATCCATTAACTCTAGACAATCTGCTACAGCTGCTTGCTCGTTGTCATTATTAATCCGACCGTTCACATTGCTCACTAAATCGATCGTCTCGTGGATTTTTAACGATGATTTATGCAAAACCATCTGTAACAAATCCACTGTGGTGGTATCTATCATACCAGCAGGTGCAACCTCAGACACCATAGCCAAGCAAGATGGCTGATCATGGGCCTGATCACAAACATGGGCTGTCAATGAAAGAGATGGGCTGCTGACATTGATCGCCCAGATTGAAACTAATCCAACTGAGCCCACAATAGCAACTAAGGAGAGAAGAACATAGAGAGCTTTAGAAGAGGATGATTTTGTTTTGGGAGTGTCTAACAATGGTTGAGAGGAATTAGTAGCCATGACTTAGTACAAGTGTGTAGTGAGCTTCAGTTGTTCTATGGATCTTCTCAATGCCGGTGTTCTTATATAGACTAAAAAAACCCAAGAATCCTCGTTATTTTTTTACCATACAACTTGTAAGGAAAAGTACTTAAATTAAAGCACAATTTAATAAAGCCACTTTAGTTTACTTTTAGGTGGTGCGGAAAGGTTCAGGTTTTTATTATTATAAATGGTTAACACGCGTGAGTATGAAAATTGAAATACAGGCAATCTGTTTTCCTAACGCTAAAGTCAGTCATTAATTGAGTGCATGGATTGGTTTCTTTTGATATTTTTTTGTCGATCTTTTTCTTTTCATGACAAAGCATGTACGTAGGGTTAATCTATATATGGATGCCTAGTACTCCATTTTGACCGGATGTGCATTGCTACTTGCTAGTATAAGTGTATTTTAATGTAAGCTATATACACTATAATAGAAACATTTTTTGTAGTTTAACATGTAACAATATGTTACTATTATTTTTATCAGGTTAAATATTGATATTTTTCATAGTGATTTTACATATATATACCTTACAAGTGACTTAGTTTTGTAGATATAATTTTATTCTACTGTTATACATAAAATTTACACACTCTATATGTAGTACTAGCAATTATGCAGTCTACTGCAGAAACTGTTCAAATCATAAGCACTCGGATTATGATAAAGAAACATAAAACTATATTCATAATATCAGCAGCGATATAAAACTATATTTATAATTGTAGCTCTAAGATAAGATTTTAAATTGGATCTAATTGGCCCTTAAAGCATTAGAGAGTCATTTGAAGCATATAGAAATGAAGAACCAGGGTCAGCAATGTGACCAAACCATCATTCACACTAAGCAATTATTCTTTGATTGGAAAAGTAATATCCACGAGAGTTTCCTTATGCATGTAAATTTAACTTTTATGTTTTAGTATATTTGAATAAAGGACCAGAGTCCCTATGCCCATTGTTTAAGCAAATATTCTCTGGTTGGAAAAGCATGTCGTTTTGTCACATCAATTATATATATATATATATGGAGCAGTACGTATAATATGCACATGCTACTTAACTTTGATTTCTCCGAAATTGGGGTGTTAGAGGAAAGGCATAAATGCATAATTAAATATCGTTCAGGGATAATCTCAAATATCTGTCTCCACGCACGTTTAGATTCATAATATGAATCTCCCTTGTACTTTGCAATATTACAATTGCCTCCCTTATTTATTTTCTTAGTAACAATTATTTTATTTTGTTAATAATATAATCATGATTTCTGGATCAGGTTACGTACACCTTAACTAATTTTACGGTATAGCTACTACTTCTTAATTGGTCTACATTAATGCTTTTTTAAGCCCCTCCC